TATGATAGGTGACTATGTCGTACGATTCGGAGAGAGGACTCGAGTAATCACTAACGGTGTGAAAGTTTCACTCTATTCTTTATAGTTGTTTCACCGTTGTCCAGAAACTTCTGATCTTGAATTCGTGATAACAAGAGCCGCCTGCTTATACACCGAGCTTCGCCCTTCACTAACCATTTTGTGTTTTTCCAATTTCGTACTTTGCGCAACGTTTTATGAGGCCCAGTAGAAAAGGGCAATTCTCTGAATTTCAAAAGATTTGCTAACGATCGCTATTTTTGCGGTCATTTGTTCAAGTGTTTTTTTTTTATTATCGAGAGCTTATTATATCACACAAAGTGGTTACCTATCTAGTATCTACTTCTCCGAACACAATATCCTGAGAGTACCTTTTTTTTTTTTTTTTTTTTTTTTCAAACACACACACCCCCTGCAGTGCTAGTGGCGCTGATGAAGCAGACACCACTAGCACCCGGGGAGGGGCTCCATCTATTGGTGGGGAGCATCACCTGCTGGGAAACGGGTCCAGCTTCCCATATACAGAGTGAGAGTACCTACCTATGATCGTAACCACATCCGTGAGCATGTGATGTTTCGACATAAAATCAAGCCCTTGGAAATGAGCGGAACCAAGTGCTCCAATTTTACAACCATAAGGACGCGATTCGTTCCGTTGCCACATGCTCAACGATTTTTTTTATTTTTTATTTTTTATTTTTTATTTTTTTTTGCTCCGTGAGGTTTTAGTAAGCTAGAGCAGTCAATGAATTCAATCCCACCGCGGCATCGTCAAGTTTCAATTCCCATTAGCTAAGGGTTCAGTCTAGATAAGAGTTTGGATGGTTGGATTTGGCCGCCGGCATATTATCTTGTTTACTTACCCACTCTCTAGACTCAATTATATCTGGAGAGAGTTGCGTGGAGCATGCATGAAAGACACCTGGGATGACGAACTCGTTCCGGGGACCATAGCCTGTTGTGAAAAGAGATAGATCACTGGATATATATAGCCAGTCCTCGGACGATCTCTCCGACCGTGTCTCCGAGATGCAGTTGAAATTTGAGTGGGGGGTTGTGAACGCGAGGTGTAGGTGGGATACCAGACCAGACGTGGAGTCGTGGACCACTTCACTTCTTTCAGGGCCCAGCCTCCGTTCAGCTTACAACAGCAGATGTTGTTTTGCTAACTCTTGCCAACTCTTAAGTCACCCTTCGAGCCACACAAGCGGTTAACGGGGACCCCCACTTTTTGGCCCTGAGTAACCATGAATGATCCTGAAATTAGGGTTTCGGGGTTATGCGTTTTTTATTATTATTATTATTATTATTTTTTATAATATGTTAGTAAGAAGTGCACTCTATACATTGGTGTGGAGTTTGCTTGAAATGGCCTTATGAGGTGCTGTGTTTTATGTTCTTTTTTTTTTTTTTTTTTTTTTTTTTTTTTTTTTTTTTTTTTTTTTTTTTTTTTTTTTTTTTTTTTTTAGTATGTTAGTAAGAAGTGCACTCTATACATTGGTGTGGAGTTTGCTTGAAATCGCCTTATGGTTTTCTTATAAATTGAGGTGAAAAATGAGGGCTTGGTTAACCGGCTCTCCCAATTTCACGCCTGCGCCTGTTTGACAAATACGCAGCAGCAGAAATCTGCACCCCCAAAACGAGATATCTATATTCTATCAAATATTTATATTCTAGATATCATATCTATATTCTATCAAATATTTATATTCTAGATATCATATCTATATTCTATCAAATCTAACGAGACATTTCAAAAAATTAACTTCTTGTTACTTCTTGTCTCCTTTGACGACATCACATCATGTTCTTTTATGCAAACGAAAACTCCATGAAACCTACCTTTGTCCGCCCTACTTAAAAGGATCTCCGTCACCTTTTTCAGATCTCCCTCCCTCCCTCATTGCATTCTTATTTACAATATATGTGCTATGAAAGTACCACTAGCTCATGGAGAAAATGCTTATTAAAGCCCCAGTACGTTGGAGGCACTATTTGCCGATGCCAGTTTCTGATGTACGCCAAGTTCTGCTGCCAGCGCCGGCACAAAATCTCATCGTTTTGGCTGCCGATGCCGGTGTTTTTCAGTGGCTAGGCCTAGGCCTGGTCCCGAAAGGACGAGGCGCAAAAACGCCGGCATCGGCCTTGTCGGAACAATGCCAGGCTTTTCCACTGGGTAGGCCAATCCGCGAACAACACCGCGTCAAGACAAAACATGTGGGAACCGTTTTTTTTTTAAATTTTATTATTACTAATATATATATCGTCACAAACAGAACTGC